GGAGGCGCCTCTGCGCTGCTCAGGCGGACAGCTGGCGGAGCAGCCCCACAGCAGTGGAAATTTCCATACGTGCTTCATCAGGGTTCTGTACCAGTGCCAGAAGGTGGAGCTTGAGAGGAGCAACCAGTCTAGGAGCTGGCTGCCACGAAAGGCTTAGGTATGTTAAGTGCCCACGAGTTGAGATAATCTCTGCCTTGCTTCTTTACTGCACAAACCCCAGGCCACAGGGACAGAGAATTAAAAAAAACACACATTAGTAGGCCACTGGGTCAGCTGAAGGAACTCTTAACAGTACTGCTACTTAGTTTCATTGCTACGGCAGATTCATCATGAGCTCCTTGTTACTAGTGCCAAAGGTATTCTTTTTATTTTTTTACCCACCATTTTATGTGCAAATGTTAAGGAGTGCCCACTTCATACTGAGCAATCCCCTTTGCCCTCAAGAAATGCTTCCCCTCGATTTTGCGGTAAGGCAAAAAAATCCAAGATGTGTTGCTGTTTGAGTTTTTTTTATTATTTGACCAGTAAGGCAAAAGAAATAGCACTGCCATTAGCCCCCATCAGCTGTCCAGAAGCAAAACAGTCTTTGAACCCAAGTTTAAAAATTACTTTAGCTTCTGAAAGGTAACTGATTTAGCCACATAATTACACTGAAGTCCACCAAGGATCTACAACCTTGAAAAACTTGTATTCAAAATTCAGGACATGGACCCTCTTCCCCTGATTTCACAACTAAGTTTGAAGCACCACTTCCAACCAGTATGACTTACAAACATCTATGTGGGTTTCACTTTCACAAAATAGTTGGTGCTATCACCCATTTAAAGGGAGCAAGAAGCTATTTGTTCCTTGAGTCACTGCTGAAACACCCATCTGTCCATTTAAACTCGTAAGCTGGAAGTTTCCTACATACAACTTTTTAATATAAAGTTCTTAAAAACAAGGTTTCATTGCCTTTTCAGGAAAATTATTTGGAAACTTGGCAATCAACATGCCCTACCTCAAAGATAAATAACCATCTACTTCCTTGTTTTTCCACACTGATGGGACTGAGCAAGGGGAATGTTACAAAACCAATTAAAATACCCATGATAACCTCTTCCCACATTGCCAACTGTGGCTTTAGACTGTAGCGTGAGGGTATTTCAGGGCTTCAGCTTCAGTTCTCTTAGCAACAGCAAAAGATCACAGAAGTACCATCAACTGAGGGAACTCCAGACAAAAAGCAGTAAAATACATGGGGCAGATTAGGCTGTAGTTAAGAACATCACAAGCTGGGCCCTCAAAAGGAAAACAATCACTAAGACCTAAGCACAGACAAGGAAAGATCTAAAGCTTAAAAGAAATAGTCTGACTTGGATTCAAAATAACCTAGATAGAACCCTGCCTTGACTCCCCCAGACAGAGTCAGCTGTGAGTACATTCAGCTGTAGTTAAGCACTGTTAAACTCTAAACTAATCCTTGTTACTGATAAACAAGTAAGACAAAGGAACCAAGTCAGCCTTACTGGAATTTTAATATACTGTACATGAAAGCAGTAAGGACTTTAACCCCAGTATGGAGTGTTGTTCCAGCTCTGCTCCTCACCAAGGAGAGCTGGGGCTTTGCTCAGCACAGGCAGCACTTCCAGATGAGTCATTAGCATGTGCTACAAGTTTCTTTTTGGGGAAAAAAAAAAATCATGGGTTACGGGCCCACTTCCCTCCCCCCACTTCCATAAAGAAATCACTGCTCAATACCAGTTTAAGTATAATTTGAATTTTTAATACTAAGATCTTCCCATTTCTCTGAAGCTCATGGTAAGCCTGCATGCTAACTGGCAAGGCCTGACAGCCATAGGTACATTACACTCAAGCCTGGTCTGCACATAGCTCGTGTGAAGGCGACAGTACAGTGCTGCAAACGCTTCCTACGCCCGTAGCAGCTGGTGAGCAACGCCACTGCAGGGTCCTGGTCAGCCAGACGGGAGCTGGACCCTCGCTCCAGCACATCTCCAAGAACTAGCCCTACGCTAGCAAGAGAAGGAAGACCACCGTTTCCAACAGCCACTTAAATCCAGCTTTACTCTTCTTCCCCATCAAAGCAGAGCCTGCCATGCTAAGCAATCTAGCCCAATCAAGGCAAGGCTGGGTTTTATAGAAGCTTAAATGTTTAATCGGACACAGTTGAGAAACCTTTCTAGAATTTAATATAAAAAACATTTGACATTCCATTAATGTAAAGTTGTGCACGTTGAGAAAAATCGCCATCTGAAAGAAAATTCGGTCTTCAAATATCTTTATTGGAAGGCCATGCACTGCCTTCTGTTACTGTATTTCAAATCACTGTACATTTAACTTTGAAAACACTGTCTGCATTTTCTAGTACAAAAAACTAAAAATTGTTTCAGGAATGTAGAGAAATAGTCAACTTAAATAGCGAAAAAGTGCACCATAATTACTGCTGCACTGCAGTCATTTCTGCATTTCCCATTTCTTAAATAACTATCCTGTTTTGATAACACACAATATAAAGAGCAATTATGAAAAACTGAGACATTTAAATACACTAAGCTATTGAGAGTAGCTCGTCGGCATGGGGTAGCCGATCATGGGGGCGGTGCCGGCGGCAGGGTAGGCGTACTGCTGCTGGCTCATGCCGTTGTGCATGCTGGCCAGGTTGCTGCCGTACTGCTGCTCGTAGCCGTTCTGGTAGGCCCCGGCGGGGGTGCCGGCCCGGAAGCTGGCCTGCATGCCCGCGGCCGCAAAGCCATTGCCAAAAGGTGTGCCATTACTGAAACTCTGGGCGCTGTACGCCCCGTTCTGAGTTTTTGCTCCAAAGTCTCTCTTTCCTAGGGGACCATAGTTTCTCTCAAAGTTCTCCCTCTCTCTAAAACTACTAAATCCACCCCTTTTGCCCGCAGAGTATCTGTCACGTCGATCACCTCGGGAGCGACCTATTAAAAGAGACAAGACATAGTTATACATAGCAATGAAGTCTGTGCCTTAGGTACCACCGACAGTTCAGCTGATAAAGAGAAGCACCCTTCCTCTGTCCCAGCAAGGCAAGACTACTATAAAAGCTTTCCAGGTGCTAACTGGACTTGTTAGACGACTATTCTGATAGAGAAAGTTGTCTAACCTTGGAGTCACATACTCTCCCCTGTAACCTAAGTAGCAGCAGTAAGGCAAAGTGTCCCTTCCACCTTGCCAACAGGACACTTGAGTCCGCCCTTCCTGGCCAATGAGAGAAGGCCACGAGACCTGAGTCCTCAAGTGTTTTATTGCACAGGAAGAAGTGCATCTTCAACCAGTATGAGCCATAGCTACAGCATGAGTGGGGAGCACTCGGGGAGGGGGGTGTCCTCTTTTTTTTGTTACTGGTGGTAATAAATACCTTCTCAGGTCACCATAAGTGGTAGCTAAGCCACCTTCCAAATCCATTTTGGAGAGAGGTTGGAGGTGGAATTTGAGTTTCCATTGTGTTCAAGATGAAAGCTACAAGCTGTGGTCAAGAACAGAACCTACCTGAACCTCTGTCTTCAATCAGCTGAAGCAATTTGGGGTTGATGGCTTGATTAGCCTCACGAAGCACAGAGATGAGGTCATTTACTTGCTTAATATTGTTAGGAGTAAAGAATGTGTATGCTGTGCCTGTTTTGGTACTGCGGGCAGTTCGTCCAATTCGGTGGATATAGTCCTCTGAGGAGTTAGGGTAGTCATAATTGATGACAAATTTCACATCTTCCACATCTGTAAAGTGTTGCAGTGTGGCAAAAAGCAAGGTACGAAGTTTTGCACACCACAACAGCCAAATCGAAGATAAACATTAGACAAGAGCACTTTAAAGGCAATAATGGCTGCAAAGAACAGTGTTAGAATCACCCATTTCTGCACGAGTATTGTGGAAGAGAAAGTTATGCACACTCCGTCTGTTCCCGTCTCATCACCCACCCTGTGATCCAAAACCTTACCATAAAGGAGTATGCATTTGCTTGTCATTCCCAACTCAAGAGTCCCCTCTACAAATCATCAAGTGACATCTGAATGCTTCTTGCAGTAGGGCCACTAAAGCTCACAGCAGCCTCTTCATGTGCTCATTTGAGGACCTTAGAGTAAAAACATACAAGGTCCTTCACATACACACTCATTAGAAGCTCAAAAAAATAATGGGCCACACTGCTCGTCTTGCCAAGACCTTTGAACCGCAGCTGCAAGAAAAACATACCTGTCCCCCCAAAGTCACCAAGTTGTTTTTATGCACTGTGTCTCGTCTAGGCAAGAACTTCCAAGAAGCCAGGGTTCACTTGAGAATGTGTCAATGTGTCTCCCTCTGGCAGGTCTCGACATGACGACTATGTATAGGTGGAGGAACATCGACTCTCAAAGGCATTTGAAAAGCTATTGCTTTCCTGCCCCACTTGCTAAAGTGAGAGGTGGACTTTTTCTCAGATTTCATGTGCCAGTACTCACCAATTTGTACAAGGCTTAGTACATTTTAAAGCTGCTCTCTCCATTTCATTGTTGAAAAAAAAATTTCATTGAACATGGAAGTTTGTAATTATTTTCTTCGACATTTCAGCAAACTCACTGAAATTCAAAGACCCACAGATCACAGCAGACAGTATGCACAAAACTAACAGTACTGCACCATGGCAAATCATGCAAAGCATGGACAGAAGAGAAATACCAGGGCAAAGTGAACTGTGAATGAAACTGCTTATTTCATGAGAGAACAGTTTATGGGGTAGTAGTTTAAAGGATGATCTTTGCCTTTTGAAGATTACTGGCACACAATGCTCTCAGCTTTCACCTCTCTATTTGACTGGAAGCAGCCAGCCGATCACTTCCACTAGTCCTCCATCCCCCTCGAGTCCTCCGATTGTCATGCCTAGGCCTTGCCACAAAGACTGCACCTTTATGTGAAGAAAACTTAGAAAAATGCAGAGGTTAAAGAAAGCAATAGACTTTCTTTAAAAAGCTTTGGGCAACTTGGCATTACGAGTTGTACTAACCTAGACCTCTGGATGCAACATCTGTAGCAATCAGGATTGGTGCTTTTCCATGTTTGAATTCTGTAACAGAAACAGCTTGTTAGGTTCTCTGTAACAGAGTACCGTAAGTGACAGGCTTGTAAAAATTCCTGACATACTCACCATTTAGAACCCAGTCCCTCTCCTGCTGACTTTTATCACCATGAATACCCATTGCTGGCCACCTGAAAATACAAAATTCCATTTACCTCAGACCATTCCTCAAGCATCTTCATTGATCAGGGACAGCGGCTGCTCATGAAGCATCAAGAGCATGCTCAGATCCCTGGGATGGCTGACTCAAGTTCCAGCTATTACTCACCCATCCCTCCTCATCTTCCTGGTAAGATCATCACACCGTCTTTTGGTTTCCACAAAAACAATTGTTTTGTTTTCCTTCTCACTCATTATTTCTTCCATTAAACGAATCAGCCTATTAGAAAAGATGGTTAGAGATGGATTTTATCTGTATCGCACAAGTTTAAACAGCCTGATTTTTTTTAGGTTTTTTTAGTGGTCTCAAAGAAATTAAAGACAAATCTATCTTACAGTTTATAAACAAGCTATTAAAACCAGTATTGAACGCTTCACCCCCCTAACTACTTACTTGTCATCTTTCTCTACATCATGACACACATCCACTATCTGAAGGATGTTGTGGTTAGCACTGAGTTCCAACGCTCCAATGTTGATATGCACATACTCCTTCAAGAAGTCTTCAGCCAGCTGCCTTACTTCCTTTGGCCATGTGGCACTCCACATCAGGGTCTGCCTGTCAGGCTGGAGAAGGAGACTAGATCAGTACAAGACCAATATGTAGTCAAGACAAATGTCCAAACAAAAAGATCTAGCCAGGCAAGCCAGAAATAGTTAATTGCACTGCCCCTACTTTCATGAGCATAGTGCCATTTGTTTCTGCAATAATGGTAAGTATGTGAACCATTTATACTCACTCTAATCTGATCCACAATTTTTCTGATCTGAGGTTCAAATCCCATGTCAAGCATCCTGTCAGCTTCATCAAGGACAAGGTAAGTACACCTCCTGAGATTGGTCTTTCCAGCTTCTAAGAAGTCTATAAGTCTTCCAGGTGTTGCAATGCAGATCTCCACACCTTAAAACCAAGCAGTCAAGTCAGCTGAAGCAGTTTTCACATTGCCACATGCAGAGACACATCAAGGCTTATCCATACCTCTTTCCAGGTCACGAATCTGTGGTCCCTTTGGAGCACCTCCATAAATACACGTAGACTTCAGACGACATGCTCTGCTGTATTCAGCAGCTACCTGCTGCACTTGCTGCGCCAGCTCACGAGTTGGGGCCAGCACAAGACACTAGAAAGAAGATGCCCAGATTTTAGCTCAATATTTGAAGCTGTAGTCTGACACTAGCTTTAAACAAAATGCTTGTCAGATTCCTTCAGTATCAGCAGGACTGAAGTGGATTTAAATAGCCCAAACCAGCAAACTAAGTTACCTAGCATCCATATCAGTTCCCAAAAACTGCCCCATGCCGTGTGGTAAAACATCTGAAAGTCACTAGCTTCCAGGGTACAGCAATTTCCAAAATGGGACATCTAGCCCCAGTTCTCTAGTTTTAAAGAGAATCCAATCAGAGCTTATAAAATGTTATTGGGAGACTATCAAAACATGGAACAACTTAAGTCATACAGAGAAACACAACACAGCCATGCACTCTTACAAGCATGGACAATGGGACTGTAAAAATTTAAAAAAAAAGAAAAAAATCACACTATAGAAATTAAGTTTCCCTTTAATTTAGAGATACTTACAATAGGTCCATCTCCTCGCTCCAGGAATGGCTGATGATTTATATGCACAATAGCAGGCAACAAGTACTGTTTGGAAAAAAGAAAAGTGTATTACAACCTCTTCCCAGAAGCACTTAGCCTGCACTGAGCCAGGCCATGCTTTCACTGCTGAAACCCAACAGTTCTCCAGGCTACAATCACAACTTACAGACAGCGTTTTCCCTGATCCAGTCTGTGCCACTCCAACCATATCCAGTCCACTCAATGCAACAGGCCAACCTTGTGCTTGAATAGCAGTTGGTTCAGTGAAGTTCTGCCTCTGGATTACTTCCATAACATTTGCTTGAAAAGAGAATTGAATCTCGTTACCTTAGGTTTTGTCTTAAGCCTGGAAACACAGCCAGTGTCCTAGTTTTCACTTACCAGGGAAGTTAGCTTCATAGAAGTTTATAATCGGTTTTGGACAGTTATGGCCCCTAACTGTGACTTCTTTGCTTGCTCTGTACTGTTCAACTTCTTGCTGCAAGACCAAAAAAACACATTACTGGAAATGAGCTCTGATAACAAACTTATCTTTTGAGTTGCCCTGTCCGTGCCCATCGGGCCCCGTGACCCTCAGCATGTTTGCACTTATGTATTTACTTTTGCAGGAGTTAGGGTACATACCGCAGTACGTCTGACTACATCAGGATGTTCTTGATAGAAGTTCTTCTCAAATTTGGGCAACTCATCTAAATTCCATTTCTTTTTTGTAAGTTTTTCCCCAGGGTTTCCAAATTTCTTCCCAGATAGAGGTCCACCTCTACTTCCTCCAAAACGGGGAGCTCCAAACCTAGAGAAGATCATAACATAGAATCATTTTGGTTCTTACATAAAGGACAGACTGCAAAGGTACTGGCCAAGTTAACCTCACATTTTAGATTTATAAACCAAACCGGCAAGATAACTAAAACTTCAAAAACACACTTCAGTTGTAGGTGCCACAATCTGCCTAGCTACAATTCACCTTCAGTAACTAAGGTAACACGTATCTTTGCAGTTTCCTCACAATGAAATTGAAAGGCCTGTTCCCAAGCTACAACATAAATGAAGTAAAGACATTAAAACCTTCCTACTACCCCATGATCAAAATGGTTTCCTGCCCAAGTGACACTCCCATTTTGTGTCAGCCTGCAGAAAACGCGCATGGGCAGTTACAAAACCTTGGGATAACTTTCTGGAAACCGTTTTCTGGTATTCCAAAATATAGGCTCCTCTCAATAACCGTATTTTGCGAGGCCGTGCATTGCACGTTGTTATTTTACGTTCGGTCACCCAGAAAAGGCTCCCCGAGAAGCCCGTTCCGGCGGCGCTGCCGCGCGGCCCGAGGCGCCGCAG